TGTCTTTTTTTTCCTTCAGTAAAATTATTACAGCAGCCATCTTCCCAATTACTTATTTGTCTGTCTAAATAAGCTATGTTAAAATTATCATTTGATGGCAATTTCTGTTTTTGCATGTTGAGTTAAATACAAAGAATAGATGGGTTAGATTTTTAATTAAGTTTGTTTTCTGAGTGGCAGTATAATAGAAGAAACCCAGTCTGCTGATGACTGATAGATATAGGTTCAAATTAAACCTCTACTGCTAGCTATCTAGATTCTTGTAGAAATAACTCAACCTCTCAAAGTTTCAAGAAACTCACCTGTACAATGGGAAAGATAATTATACTTACCTCAAAGGGTCCCTGTGAAGAGTTAATTAGGTGCACAAAATCTGACAAATATGAAGAGTGCCATAAGTGTTAGCTATTTGTTGTAATTGTTACAGAAACTCTTTAGATTTCATGATTGTAAGCCCTTCTTAAACCTCAACAAAAAAGTGTTGTTGAAATAAATGGTTAATGGCTTATACTTAACTAAAAATATAAGGAGATTCCCAAGAATTTACCAATATTTTTACAAATATTTGGCTAAATGAATTAATAGGCATTGCAGATGACTGAAGGGATACACAATACAGGAATATAGTTTCCCCTGTTAATACAGACCCACAGGGACTCTACCCAGACTATATCCTAAATAACACTGTAGGTGCTATGGAATATTTTGTTCATTATATTATGTGGCAGCCTCTCTATGATAAACTACAGGGGGAAAAAAAAACAAAAAACGTTTTCCCAAGCTGGAATTAAACTCAGAAATGGTTATTTTTTACCAGATGTAGTTTGGTTTTGTGAATTTCGTAACTGATTCTGTTCTTGTTTGCGTGTTTCACCTTAGCCCCAGAAAGGTGAAAGTCAAGTTTCTGACTACTCTGTATAGACTCTAGAGGGCTTTGTAGCTTCTTTATTATTACTTACTCTCACTTTCATCCTTTATTCTCTTTCTCTTCTGTTTGCTTTATTTTTCTGAACTCATTATCAATGCATTATATCTTGCTTTACTGTATGGATCATTGTAAATGACTTAATTTTTATTTGATATAAGGTGGAAAATAAAAAAGAATTAAATCTAGCCTCTAATCTATATTAGGCATATATGAAAGCATCTAAAATACTATTTATGACTTTTCTGATACAAGTGAAATTTTCTTATATAAACATGTGATTTAGTTTTTCTTACATTAAAAAAACAGCTACACAGACTGAGAGAAATTATGAGTAAATTGAAGAAAGTTAAGAAAAGAATAATAGGTATAATTAAGAGAAGAGAAATTGACTTTTGTTGATCAGGGTGGCCTCCCAAAGAAGAGATATGTTTACATTATGCCGTGGGTTGGGGTGAATTACAAAAATAACAAGCTGTTCTATTTGGCAAAAGCTTTAGTTTATAAAACCTAGAAGATGATGCTGTATTACTAATTCCATTTAAAGTATATAGAAAATGAGAGAGAGAGAGAGAGGAGAAAAAGAAAGAAGAATTAAAAGAAACAAATCCACTATGAAGTTTAGAAATTTCTATGCCAACTTTGATTCAAATATTTTAACACAATAGTATCTAGTTACTTTTTGTTTGGTGCAAGCAAAAGCTCTGAAACAGAACTGAATGATGTGACATTTGAGGAAAGAAATACAGAGATTATATTACTATTTAGGATTACCCACTTTGTTACTAGTTTGATATAAAAGCATTGGGAATAATTTAAAATAATGCTATATGACACAAAACACTAACTGGATTTTAAATTTTTGTGCTTTTTTCTATATTTCAAGAAAATGAACATTAACAATAATACTGCAATATGCATGAAAATCAATAGCAAAGACTAGTTTTTAAAAGTAAAATTGCATAACTGAGCTATTTTCAATTCTGTAAAGAACTATGACATCTTATAACTGATTGAGTTAAAAGTAACTAATTCTTCTTGCAACCGGAGAAGGTCACTTCTCCTTCTCTATCAAAATAAAGCCCCAAATTTAGTGTTTCAAAAACAGCAAATAAATTTCCTTTGTGTCCAAATAATGATTTTTCAAAGCTTTAAGTAAAACTGAATTATATTTACCCATTTTTATGAAGAATAATGAATTACACCTTGAATATTAAAAGGTAGTATTTTATTATATTTAGCCTGTGAGTTCTACTTTTAAAATTATCAATTTTCATTTACAGCTATTACAGAAAACATTATTTTCAAGAGCCACACTGTTGAAATGGCTATGCTCTATCATCTGATAGAAATTAGATCATTCATGGCAATTCTCTGTTGATAACCTCTTCAACTTCAACTAGCGCTTTATGCTAAGTATTCTTAGAGAAAATTGACATGTGATACACAAAACTTATAGCAATTTAATTTTAGAATACAGCTGGTTTGAGAGACTACATAAGTAAAGAAACGTTTTGAGTAGTTAGTGACTACTGTAGAGGACAGGCAGTTCTAAGGACTTTCCATCGCACGCAGAGAAAAGGTTCTATAACTTATTTTCAACTGTGATATCTCTATTTTATTATACCAAAAATGCTCCTACCACTGACATTTTATATCTCCAGTTCTTTTTCTGCTAGTAATTATGCCTCTCCCTCCCCAAAGCCACATGATTTTCTTCCTTACTTCATTCAGGTTTCTGCTCAGTTTTCAGCTTATCAGAGAAGCTTTCCTTAATTATTCTAAATAAAATAGTACTGCCATTCCATAACTTTGTGTTTGTTACTTGTATTTATTTGTCTTTATTGTAGTTATCACTACCTAACATAATATTATCTATTTATTAATTGTTATATGCAGTTTTCATGCAATAAAATGTAAGCTCCATGACAAGAGGTGTTTTGTATTGTTCATGGCTAAATTTCCAGGGCTTACAATCAGTAACTATATGTTTTTTAGTGAATATACCCTCAGCTTTAAAATATTGACACGAAGCCATATTTCAAAAGACACAACAAACTTGATATACTGGCCCAAGGCTTTCTAGCTAGTCTTTGATGGACTGAGTATTGAGCCTAGATCCTCTGAAATCATATGGAAGCCTGGGCAATATAGCAAGACCTCATGTCTTAAAAAAAAAAAAAAAGATTAGCTTGGCATAGTGGTGAGCACTGGTAGCCCCAACTACTCCAGATACTGAGGCAGAAGGATCATCTTAGCCCAAAAGGTTAAGGCTGCGGTGAGTTGTGATTGTGCCACTGCAGTCCAGCCTGTGTGACAGAGAGAACCCAACTAACTCCAAAAACAACAAAAACAATCAAACAGAAAAAGAACTTTACCTTTCTTCTCAAAACAAAGCTTTATTGCACTGATTTAAGAAACTATAAGTGCTGGTATTTATCACTTATTCTTTCATAGGCATGCTTCTCAAGTGAATTTCTAATTCTCATTATTTATAATGTATGTTTTCCAACCTTAATTCCAGGAACTATAGATTGAATACACAGACGCAGTTCAGGTACTATATAAATATTTCACAAAGATGAGACTCTTCCACATCAAGTCAATGACTACTTCAATAAAGCTCTACCATAATTGAATTTTCATATCATATTTAGAAAGAGAGAACTCAGAGATATTACCAGTTGCAATTCATAACATAACACAGTATTTCTAAACTCTTTACACTTTTCTAAATGTCTTTTAAAAATATTCTTAAGGATTTAAGTTTTAGACCCCAAATTTCTTTTAATTTTGGGGGCTTCATGATGAGCTGGAATTTAACTTTAAAAACCTAAGATATAAGGAAGATGCCTCAAAAATTTTAATTATTTTTTGGAGGGCTGTCCCCTTGTAGTACAGGCCTCCCTTGCTAGGTAAAGTGTTCTGAGAACCAACGGGCATCAGCGTACCAGTTAACATTGTTGTAAGAGGCTGTGTTTGGCTTCAGCAAAAATTTTTTTGAAAATTCTTTCAACACATTTGCCCATTTCATGATGGGTGACATACGAATACACCTGTCCACACCGCACTAAGTGTTTACAGTTTTTTATCAAAAACAGAATGAGCCCCCATACCCCACTCTCCTTATTCACCTTATATCACCCCAGCAACTTATTTTTGTTGTTTCCCCAGAGGAAAATATCCTTAAAAGGAAATGCTTAGCCAATGTGAAAGAAGTGAAACAAAACATGGTAGAAGTACTAAAAGGCATCAAACTCAATAAGCTTAAAAAGTGTTTTGAGCAGTAGAAGAAGCATCTTGATAGGTATATTATATAAAATGATGAGTACTTGGAAGATGACTGAAGCTGAAACATGCAAGAATAAGTATTTAATTTTTCATGAATAAATTCTATTTTGGGGGGAATCCCCCTAAGTAGATAAGTCATAGATATTCAAGGATACCCCCTGGGGAAGCAGAACATCACTGGAATTGGTTATATGCATTAATATAATTTTAAAAGGTGTATTTTATTAACTAAGGGAATTGTTCAATTTTATAAGAATAAAATAAGAAAGCAGTACAAAAATAATTAAGTTTAGCTACTTAAGTCCATTCCAAGGAAATGTAGATAAATCATGAGCATTTTAGAGCTAGCATTTACCATAAGCATTCTATTTCCCAGGCACCGTGCTCTTAGCTATCAAAGTGTACTGATCTTTGTAAAACCTTTCCCAATGTGAAATGGATATATCAGGTCATTATTTTTCCTTTCATCAAGTGTCTCAATTTGCACCAATTTTACGCTTACAAAGGAAACCTTAAATTATGTACTAGCCTAAAATATGAGTCTACCTTAAAAAAATAGAAATGTTAATCACATGAAATACAAGCTTTCACTTTACGGGATAGGGATGTCTTATGGGAAATATGGAAAATGGCTTTGATGATGATATGATTTGTCATCTAAGACTGTCCACAGGGAATAAATGTGCTGAATAGCCTTATCTCTGGACCAATAAATTTTTATGCTTAATTAACTATTTGGCACTCTGATGTGTACTAGAGGTATATGTACATTTTCATCACTCACCTCTTAGACACTGATAGAGTGACAACTGAAGCCTTAAATGCTGAATCAGGTCCAAGAGTGCTTATCACTACCACTTCCATCTTCTAAAGTAGTTTTCCAAAAGGGATCAGAAATATTTCTGCTTAAGAAAACTCTATCTTTACACAGATTTTCTAAAAATCTGCAAAAAGTAATCAGATTTGGAAAGTAGAAATTCTTCTAAAACTAGTGTTAGTAAAATGGAATATCCATATATTAAAAAATATTTGGACACATAAAAATACACAAAATTTATATATAAAAATTAACTCAAAATGGATTCAAGATCTAAATGTAACACTCTAAAACTACAAGATACCCACAAGAAAACACATTAGAAAATTTTCATAACATTGGATTTGGCAATAATTTTTTTTGTAACTATTTCAATAGCTTTAGGGATAAAATTCATTTTTGGTAACAAGGGTGGATTTTACAGTAGTGAAGAAGTCTGTGCTTTAAGTATACTTGTCATATCATCTAGTGCACCTTATATATAATAGGTAACTTTTTTTTATCCCTCACCCTCCATTCTCTCCCTTCTGAGTCTCCAATGTCCATTACACCATTCTATTTGTCTTTGGAGACCCATAGCTTAGTTCCCACTCATAGGTGAGAACACATAGTATTTGGTTTTCCATACCTTATTACTTCACTTAAAATAATGACCTCCAATTCCATTCAAGTTGCATGGACTAGTATTTCACTATATATGTGTGTGTGTGTGTGTGTGTGTGTGTGTGTGTGTGTGTGTGTGTGTGTGTGTATGTGTGTGTATATATTCATATACATACTTATATTTCTTTATCCACTGATCAGTAGACACTTAATTCCTCATTTTGAAAACTGCAAACTGTGCTGCAATAAACATATGAGTGCAGGTGTCTTCTTTTTATAATAACTTCTTATGGTGGGAGGAAGATACCTAATAGTGTGCTTGCTAGATTGAATGATAAATCTACTTTTAGTTCTTTGAGAAATCTCCATACTGTTTTTCATAGAGTTTGGACAAATTTACACTTCCAACAAGAGTGTATAAGCATTTTCTTGTCACTGCAGGCATATGTGCCAACATCTATTATTTATTTATTTACTTATTTTAGTAGTGAACATTCTGATTAAAGTAAGGTGACATTTCATTGTGGTTTTAATTTGCATTTCCTTGATTATTAGTAATGTTGACCATTTTTTATAAAATCACTAATTTGCTAACTATTTGTATATTTTTTTTTTTTAATCAATATTTTTTATTATGATTTTGTGGGGTACAGTTAAGGGTTAGGTGTACAGTTACGTTTCATTCAGGCACCCTGTTGATAAGAGATGTTTCCCCATCCCCAGACAGATATTTGCGACTTTTAATCCCATCCCCGTCCTCCCCCATAGTTTCCCGGTACCGTCAGTCATTTTCTTATAGTATTACATTGGATGTTCAAGGTCCATTATATGAGTGAGAACATGTGATACTTGGATCTTTGTTTCGGTGAGAGGTCACTCAGTATTAAAGAGTCTAGTTCCATCCAGGTTGCTGCGAAATTCATGATTTTGTTCTTTTTTATTGCTGCGTAGTATTCCATCATGTATATGTACCACACTTGTTTAATCCAGTCCTCTTTTGATGGGCAGCATAGTTGTTTCCAGGTTCTTGCTATTGTGAACAATGCTGCAATAAACATACGTGTGCAGGT